GTGTAATATATCTAAGTCTAGTTTCAGATTGAGGAAAGGGTTATAACAGTAGTGTAGAGTGGAGCTAGTCGGACAGTCACAAACACAGGAGGTCAGTCGAGCACGGCCATTTCTTTTAGCCTCCAATACGAGTGATACAACAAAGCGATGATAAACTTCTCAGATTCAATGTGAAAACCACCAAGATGTAGCTTTGAACTGCACTGTTCACATGCAAATGAAGAATTCATCGCCCAACTGGTTAGTGGGGATTGATACGATCACATCTTAATTTGGTGTCTCAGAGGAGATCACGTTCGGTCGGATCAAACAATTCTTGAGCATAGACGCATATTGATGTCGCACTAGACCGAGGCTGAGCAAACCAACTCTCTCTCTCTCTGTGACAAAAAAGAGACTAATGCATTTGTACTTCGATCTGAAGATCAGTAACCAGTGCCTTTCATGGATGTGTAGAACGGATAGCTGCTGAGAATGCACAATCAGCTCGACTCATCTCGAACGAGATGACGTTCACGTGGAAAGAACATACGAGATCCACATAGTATTTGTTTTATTACATCACATATTCAATCCGGTAAGTGGTCCAAGCCCACTGATTCTATTTAACTCCCGCATTTCTTCGGTAGCTGGTTGCCTTAGAATGATCACTTCCCTCCGCTTGCGTGTTGTCTGTCTACTCGATGTGGCAAAAACTTTGTTTGACATCTCGGAGTCTCAATTATCTAACAGAAGGAGAGCAGATAGCTCCCTGAAGAATCACGCCCAAGATGCCTCGATAAATGCGGCATCAACGTACAATATCCAGTGGCAATAGATTGCCACACTGGTCATCCGGTTGCGCATGCATTCGTGATAGTTATACAAAACAACGGAAATATCTTCGTATATTCACATCCCCAAACGACAATTGTGAATCTGATTCCCCCGTCCCTCCGCCCACTCTCAATCATCGCTTTTATGATTGGTCAGGTAGAATCAAGGTCATTGGCGAGTATAAATTGGATTGTGAATTGATTATTACCGATGGTATTCCAATACACGAGATTCATGCTCGATATGATGGCAAATTCTACCTGTATCATATCGATCTGCATGCATCTATCAAGCAAATTGGTGTACGCCCAGGTGTCATACGTCAAATACATAATAGGCGACATTTTTGACCAATCACAAATGGCTTTTGCTGGCTGTGTACATATGTAAGATTAGTCACATCAGATGAACGACTCTTGTTGAACTGTAGACGTGCAAGTGTCTCCCAAATAAGGTCACAAAATGTCTTCAGCGAATGAATTTCACCGTGCAGTTGTTATTGTTGTTAAATTCCTGTTATTCGCCGACAATGCGGCTTCCATTAGTTTGAGAGGATACAGTGAAAATATTTGTAGTTCCTAATACGACGCCGATGATAAGTTGTGAGTAACCAGTTCAACTGGGACTTTTGAAGATAGCATATGTACAAACCAGCCCGAAGAGTGGATCACCATGCATACAGCGTAATGTTTGATCCAATCGGTCTACTGTCCCTGTCCAGTAGTAGTAGTCGAAACAAAGACGATTTAGTAATCGGATGCACAATCGCAATCCAATCACCAAGTCGCAGTGGTATTCGATCACTGAAATCTACCGACATCGAGATGCTGGACAAAGGCTAAAAAGTGGCGGTTCGTGTATTGAAAGAAATCAATGAGATCTAATCACATGTACAAAAGAATATCATTATTGATCATGTTGTTGTGCACGCAATTCCTGTTTGAATCAGGTAGATATTTATCGGTCCGGAACGCTGGCTCCTCATTAGCCGACCTGAACGTGCATCGAGGCTCTATTGTGTTCACGAGAATGGAACGACTTGAATTCCCTACACAGAAACCCACTTCACACACACACATCTGGATTGGCATAGCACAGTACTTCACAGATTGACGGCCATTGAACCATGGCATTTCTTCCAGAGTCCCAGTCCAGACAGAACTGTTTCAAGTACTATCCCGTTCACGTCGATCTTTTCCATCTTTCTTTTCTGTACATATCCTGTTGCTCTTAATCGGCTACCGCATGGACGAAGTATCTATCATAGCTTGTTCGAAAATGTACGCCGTCTGTGTTTGACCGATGCCGCAGAGCACAGGAAACAAGCTCCGCTCCCCCTGACATTTGTTATACTGCTTACTATGTCACTGATTACACTTACGGTTTTTCTGTTATTTTTCCCGGCTTTGCTGGACCTTAGGCATTAATCGACCCAACGGGGCAAAAAGTGTTTCACAATGTCTAGCCAATCTGAATTATTGCCTACCGACACTTGTTCCAGCTGCAATACAAACTGGATATTCCCTCGGACGTTTTATATACCGTCAGCACATTGACCGTCCGCAATATGGCCAACACACAGTCACGCAACTTGTCACCTAATTAAGTTGACCTGATCATGCTACTGCACTACTGCCCCGAAAACGTTTGTTGGATAACTCCAAAGCTAAGATGACTGCATTCAATACCATACTACTGAGCGTATAAAACGTTTCTCGTAGCGATAAGTTTTTTTTTCTAGGTTGAAGAATCATGACACTCATACTTTATTTTATGACACCTTGGTGTGTTGGATAGCAGATGGGGTGAACCCCATAGTCACGAAAACATGCTGTTCAGTGATGGAAGCCAGTAACCTAAATTCCGGGACTTGAAGTGGCGAACCATATAAGGCCTAGTCACTAGGTTTGGCGTGGTATGAACCAAACGACAGCAAAGCGGCCTACCACCAAAAAAAGGAACGGACACAACTTCCGGTATTCCAAGCCGGTCACCCATGCGAGTACTAACCGGGCCCGACGTTGATTAACTTCGGTGATCCAACGTGGTGTGGTCGCGGCCTTTGGCTTGCGTCAGAGGACTCCAAAGATCAAAGATTTATTATGGGAATAACTTACAAGCCCACGCTTTTCTCGTCCCATAGGTTCGTGTGATGGATAAAAGAAAGAAATGCTTATAATTGTTTGTGTAAATTGTCACATGATACGGAATTCTTACACTGCTGCACGCAGCTTCACTTATGTTGGAATGTAAGGTGTGCTAATGTTTCACCGAGTCTCACTTTGAAAGATTCAATCCTTGGGGTACAGACAACGTAGAGTAGGAGAGAGTTCCATATCAAACACTCTAAGAATGACTGACGCCGGCATTAAAAGCGGCACTTTGTGACCACTAGTTTGAATGGATATCCTCTAAGATGAACATTGTGTGATAATTTCAAAAGCTGGCGACACGAATGGCTTGGGTTTTACATTATTTGGTATACCATAATCCTATCTCCTCTGATTGGAATATAATCCCAGCGACTTCAATCTTTCTGCGTATGAATAACGATTCAAGCCCCTAACCAATTTGGTACATATCCTTTATGGACGCTTTAGCACTTTGCAATCACTTTGTAACAATGGATTCCATACATGGATGGCGTAATCTGTGAGTGGGCGAATGTATGCTGATAGTAGACGAGGGAAAAGCGACGACTCAAACCGACCAAAGACCCAGTCTAACATGACCACTGGCGCCCGCGGAATAGCACATTGTGCTGATCAAATGAAAAGTCAAAGCCTTATATTCAGACGATGGTGGACTGCGAACTTGAACCTGGTTCATCCCTAACCCATTTCATCTCATTTGACAGTCGATATGGTTTAAGATAAGCAACTACTTCAATTATCATTATCATTTCAACACGTAACCAATTACAAAGAGCTGGCAAATGTGCCATAACACATGACTAAGAAGAAATCTGCAGAGCGTGTTCATAGATTGTGTGGGCATGTTACTTCCCGGTCAACTTGACCGAAGAAGGGGGATAACGTCGGTGTCCCCACCCGAAACCTTCGGCTAGAAAGCCAGACCCGCAACGCAACGGGGCGGTTTGTGAAAACCGCAGTCCATTGAGGACCGGCGTCCGTCCAGTTCATCGGATCATTCGCCATTTGGACGGGGTCAAACGTCCGAGATGCCCAATATACCTCGATCCCAATCGAGTCGGTGACCACTGCCACAACCAGGAAGGTATGTGTGTAGTTTGTACGCATCTCCTTGGTTGGTTTGGAATCGGTTTTCGGCAAGCTTCCTCCAAGGTGAACTGACAGTGATCCGCCAACCCGATTATAGCCGCCCCCCCGATGTCGGTTTTTCGTCCTCTCACTTTGATGGGAAAGTACCTCCGCCCCACGAGAAGGCGGTGAGTATGGCTTCCTCAGTAGAGGCTATTCGAGACGCTTGGTAGCGTTTGGGAGCATTTCGCGAGATGTAAGGGAATGGTGACTAGTCACAACCCTAGACACCCACCTCCGACCATACTGAGGCTTTCAATACAGCTGAAAGGTTGATTTAAAAAATATCATCACCACACACAGATGTCTCCGTGAGAAATTCTCGGTAAGAAGTTCTGTTCAAGAACAATAAACGAGTAGAAACACTAAAACGATTGGTCCAAAGAATCCTGACACGATTAAGTGCACTGTAAGATGTAACTGGTCCGAATGCAGCACCCCCCCACCCCCTCGAACTAATGTGTTGTGGACGCGCAAGCAGTATTTATATCCCGACCAAGTTGGTGTCTTTGTTCGGAAATTATCAACATCTTTTGCGTATTGAAAACCAATTCAGTAGACGATCCTTTTGCAGAACATTTTCACCAGAAAAAGATCATGGGATGCCGAGGTTCAGAAAGGCTAGTTTTCGTAGTCTGATGGCAAAATTGCTCCACGCTAAACAGAGTTTGCATATATCCATACAAAAACGACCAGAGCAAACTTTGACGAGGAACTAAAACCGGTTTGCCTCAACAAGTCGGGTCCATTTGCACGGAACTCAAAGTATGAGACTCAAAACATAGGAAGTGAAACAAATTAAAGAATAAAGACGGTGATGTATTTTACAACAAGCTGGATATACTTGCACATTCTAAAATAATCAGATCAAAAAATGAAAACTGAGGACGGGATAGTCAACCACTAGGATGTCTCCGTCTTGCTCTGGATCATCTTTGTCATCAAGTCAGTCATCCGGTTGGCCAATCCGCGCACATCATCCAACAGGCCGGCCTGAGCCAGAGCATTATCAAACAGGTGGTCTAACAACGCCCCGGCCAGAGCACTGTTAGCATTCGGCTCGCCTGCCAAGATCGATTCGACCAGACCGGACAGATAACGAACCAGGTCGTGTTCCGGATTCAATTCGAGCACTGGCTCCATCACATGAAACCGTTCCTCTGCCGGTCGATCGGCCAGGGTTGTGCGTAGGAAATGACGCATCGCACCGGCCTCGCGAAC